AATAAATTTTAAAAAATAAAAGAAATAAAAAGAAGCATATAGATCCTGGGGGTGGGGGTGGGGAAAGAGTGTCTGTGAAATCCTGCTCAAGCTCTTAATTTACAACTGCTTGACTGGACTTGTGGAATGGTGGGGTAACTCTCAGCTGAAAACTGTAGGGCTCAAGTTCCTGACTATTAAAATTCCCAGGAGGACCTAGAATTACTGTTACAAACCAAGTGCTAGCAAAAAGTCAAGACACTAAAGATGTAGTCCAAATTGTTAACAATACTAGGTTACATGAGGATATGGATAAATGGCCCTTTTTTTCAGAGTATGCATAAATTCTCTACTTAGTTGTGAGAGTAACATCAAGGACATCATACTTGAAGAAAGCAAAAGAAATGCTAAGAATGAAAGGACCAAAATGAATGTTAGAGAGGCCCTGAAACTTGTTCTAGAACTTAGAGAAGCTAAAGAAAGAAGAAATGGGAGACACTGAGAAATGAAGAGAAATGGAAGCCACTCAACAACCCTGGAAACCGAGCTCTATTTTTCAGAACCCTTCAGGTGTATTTTAAAGGAAGAGGTCTTGATTTTGGGAGGTTTCCAAATATATTCTCCATGAATGAGAATCCCAGATCCCTGTCTTTCCAATCAGAATCTGTTACTTCTGCATTTGCAGATTATGAAGAACAGAAAAGCCCCTTTCCAAATGATCTGAAAGGCTGACAGTTCCTTCTGAGCTCAGGTTCTGGCTATCTTGAAACTACAAACGAAGCTTCACATCAGAAAATGTCAATCATAGTCACAGCTAAATTTTCGTGTGTTCTCTCCCCTCCATTTTCATTTGTTACCTTATGTTTCCATTTTGTATTTCCAGATTTAAGATGAACCTTTCCGGTGGGAGAAAGAAGCAGCAGTTTGCTTGTGTAATAATTTACAGCCTTGGAAACTACGGAGCAGATCTGTTCTGTCTGATAGATTGCTATGAGTATGAACAGACTCAATGGCAATGGGGTTAGTGGGTTTTGGGGTGCACTTTTAGCATTATTTTCTGTCACTTTATTGCGGAGAGTTAATACTGAATATCAAGAATAAAATGTTTGTGAAACAGAAAAAAAAGAAGACAGCTGAAAAGAATATTTCAAAGAGCAGACTGAGAAGACAAAGTAAAACATGTGTACAAACTGTACAAAGACCTACAGTTAGAAAACCAAAAGGGAGGGAACACACTTGGCATTTCTCAAATTGAAAATAACTGAAGAAGAAAAAATGCAAGCGTTGAGTTGAAAAACAGAAAGATTTTATGAGCAAATAACTGAATGACACAA